TCTGAACGTACCTCACAATGCAAATTTGAAAGACACATATATTAACAACCCAACAATGTATATTTAGATGCCGTTTGGTAACATTGTTTTTCGACTAATCAAGCTTATCAATCAACTTTTTCACCAAACACGTAATTTTTGCTTGCACGCGCTGAATTGTGTAATAAGCAGAAAAAGTAAGGTTGGAGTTATTTTTCTGGTTGTATTGGTTGAAGTTACTGTAGATGACTATTTTAGCTATTTTTACATATAATTTTTTCTTTATTTTATTAATAAAATATATTTTAAAAATAGTTTTTTCTTAAATCAGCAGAATCAGTCAATGCAGCCACTTCAGCCATAACTTCATAAATTTCAGCAGAATCAGTCAAAAACAACCGATTTTGGTGCTACCAAACGGACTCTTAGAGTTCAATAGTACGTAGTATGATTTCAATAGTTTTATGTACAAAATCTTTATTAAACCAACTAACAAACACAATATTTAGAGCCCATATCTTTTGATTTGCACGCTGAATTTTGTAATCATTAACAAGAAAAAGTAAAATTGAAGTTATTTTTTTAACTTATTGGGTAAAGTTACTGCAAAAGATCATTTTAGCTATTTTACATATAATATTTTATTTATTTTATTAATAAAATATATTAATTTTTTCCCATTAATCAATCGAATTAACTAATTCAGCCATTTCAATCATAACTTCATAAATTTAAGTAGAATCAAACAATTAAATCGATTTTGATATTACCAAATGGGCTCTTAGAATTCCTTAATTTAAAGACAATTTTTTCAACATTTTCACATTGAGCAGTTCAAATAAAATACTTCCGGTGATTTTTAAGAAGTTACTAACAAAAACAAAAGATATAACACGAGAGCCTTTTTTTATTGTTGAATTCTACGTTCTACTCTTCGACTTCATCGTTTAATTTGCAGCAATGTATTAGAGATAGACATGCACACAGCACTCATGTAATCCATTACCCATGAAAATGTATACAATTCAATTGATGATCGCAACAGATGATCGTATTAAGTATGATATATCTGATCTATTTGAGTTTTATCCGGGATGATTTCTTGGAGCCTGATACGATTTTCATCTCAACTTGTTTAAATTTCAAATAAAATTGTATAGAGTATCAAACTTAAATAGATCACACCATGATATGCTTCAACAACAGTAAAAATACAAATATATGATACCTCTATTAGAGTGGACAAAATCAAACTTAAACAAATGAGATCAAATTTAAATATAACAGGGCATATAGAATCCGAAAAAAAATCCAAATCAGATTATTAGTAGCATTGGAGATGCTCTGATTAATGCTATGCTCTGACTAATGCTATGATCCACAATTCTTTCAATTATCATGTAATTACTTTTTTCATTTTTCATATTCAACTCATCCCGCCAATGTTTAAGTCTAATATAATTACTCTATATTAGACCATTTGGAGTGGTGAGGTATATAACTGAATAATCTATAATCGAACTTCACTTAAGCAAATTCATTTTTTAACCGAAATATGTTTAAAAAAAATTAGAAAAATTATTTATTTTTACATCAAAATGTGTACTCCGTAATTTTTATTGCATAATTATTCAAGGGAAAAATTAAAAGTAAAAACATTACTTATAATAATTTAATTAATGTTTTACTAAATTCATTTGTAAAAAATATGCAGAGTGTATTTTATTGACAGTGCGCGGATGCAGGGAAAAACTGTATTGACGAAGTCTAAACGCTATTTTCATATGGCCGGAGTCCAAATTTAACTATTTGGACTCTTGACCACTACAAATGGTCCATCGCATATTGGACACTCTGCCTTGAGTCTATATTAGTCCAATAATAAGAAAAAACGCAGGTCATTATTTTTTCTGGGTATACTGTGTTTTTTCCTGAGTATATACGAAGTATATGGGATGAATTGATGAAATGTTTATGAATTAGGGACACTGTTTTACTTGAATGTTCTAGGAATACCAATCTTTTCTTCCAAACTTGGGGTGCATTTTTCAAAAAAAAAAAATGGAGAGGCAAATGAAACAGGAAAAGCACCGTATTATTTTGAGCGCGCGGGGGAATAAAAAGAGATACCTTTACTAGCGTGGCCACGAAAGACCTGTTTTTCAACTCCCGAGCTCGGACCCTAACTTTCCCAATTCCGAAATGCGGAGTCGGAGAGAGAAGAGACTTGCGCTCCACCACCGTCGCACCGCTGCCATTCACCGCTTCTTTTGGGCAATAAATGCTGGTACTCCGACGGCGAGCGCCGGCGGCAGCGAACAGAGCGAGTTCTCTCCTTTTGAGGCGCTTGACGAGTCGGAGCTGTCGCCTGTCTTCGGACAGAGACCCTCCCACTTCGGCGAACTTCCGGAGAAGCTCGTCCGATGAAGATCTGGTGACATGCTGAACTTTAGCTGCGGCGGCATTATTACTTTTCTCCATTGCAAAATCCAAATCTGGGGGAGCGCAGTGGATTGATGGAAATTAAATGACCAAGGCATCACTCGACACTCACTATTCATTTTTTTATCATGTAAAATTAGCCGTTGGAGAGACATCAGGTCCCAAATGTGGAATTATGTGGACCCGCTGCACTAATTGTAGACCAGAAATCTATGAATCCACGTCACATCTCTTAATATCAGGTTTTCTCCCCCTGCTCAATCAACAAGGAAACTCATCACCATTTCATTTTTTTCGTCTCCCACTTCACTTTTTTTAATCCTTCAACGGCGTCAAGTTATGACTTTCATTAGACCAAATGGAGTGGTGAGGTATTAGGAGTCTAAAATGTTAAAATGGCATTTTTAGACTCCTAATTTCTTACATTGGTTGAGTGTGGAGGGTATTAAAAATGAGTTTGGGGAGGGAAGGGGTTAAGTTTGGAGGAATTTTAGACAGCCAAAAATTAAATGGAAAAGAAAAGAAAAAGGGGAGTGGGGGCATACCTGTTGTGCGCAGACGGGAGCAGAAGGCTTGCCAGGAGGAATTATTTGCCTCGCTGACATCATGTTGATGTCAGCATGAGACACCATGCACTACCAACGGCTCAATTGTTTGTATAAAAAAATATTTGGTAGATCCAACGGTTGTGATGAACTTGACACTGTTTGAACGGGAAAAAAAATGATCCAACAGCTGAAATTTAAATCCAACGGTTGAAATAATTTATTTTATTTTTCTATTATTTTTAATTGATATTTTGCTCGAAAATCCTATATAAACACCTCATTCCTTCTTATTTTAATCACACATCTTCCATCTCTCTCATTCTTCATCATATTTTTTCACTACAATTTTGTTATGTCTTCCTCAAAAAGGGGTGTTAATTGGAATGCTAAAGAGGATGTTGTTCTATGTAATGCCTGGGTCACCATATCTGAAGATGGTGCCATTGGAATAAATCAATCGGGGGAGACTTTCTGGGGCCGAATTCACGAGATATTTTCGGCACAAAGTCAAATTCCTCGAACTCGAGATGCAATTGAGTCTCGTTTCAAGATCATCAATAATCAATGTTCTCAATGGAAAGGTTGTGTGCGGAAAGCGAACGCAACCCCGAGGAGTGGGTCAAACCTAGACGATTTGGTAATTTCTAAACTACTCTATTATTTGATTTTAATTCATAAAGTATATACTAATATATTTTTGAAATATATATAACTATATTAATATTTTAGAGTATATTAGTATATATTCGTATAATATTTAGTGTATATATAACTATGTAATTAAAGCATTTATATATATTCGTATAATATTAGTATAATATTAGTATATATAATATATATATTCGTAATATATATTAGTTTTATTAGTATATTATATATATATATATATATATATATATATTAGTTATGTTAGTATATATTATATATATATATATTAGTTATGTTAGTATATATATATATATATATATATATATATATATATATATATATATATTAGTAATATATATTAGTTATATTAGTACATATATAATATTAGTATATATATCGTATAATATTAGTTATATTAGTATATATATAAGTTATATTGGTTATATTAGTATATATATTCGTTATATTAGTTATATATTAGTGTATATTAGTTATATTAGTTATATTCACAATATACATATAACTATGTAATTAAAACATTTAATTATATTACTATGTACTTTACTCCTTTATTATTATTATATTGTAGAACTTTCAAGCCAAAGACATTTTCATGAATGATAACAATGGCAAGACATTCAAATTTGAGCATGCGTGGCGTGTCCTCCACTTGTGTCCAAAGTGGTACCAACAATACGAAGCTCCGGTATCATTCTCTAGGCCAATTTCGTCTCCACAATCGCACGATTCGCCCACACTCGGAGGTAGTGCTAGCTCTCCCTCGGATGGAGAGCCACTTCAACGTCCCGAAGGTCGGGACAAGCAAAAGGCCAAAAGAAGTGGAAAGGCAAAGGTGTCTAAGCTAGATCCAATGATGGCACAATGTTTACAAGAAATGATTGAGCAAGGCCGAGAACAAGCTTCAAGAAGAGCTAAGCATGATGAGCTTCAACACAAAGCCGTGGAGTCGGAGATTACGAGAAACCAGTTTGACTTACTAGCTGCAGACCTTTCAAAGTTTTCACCGAGGAAGCAAATGTGGATTAGGCAAAAACAAGATGAAATAATGGGGTATTCTCAAAATTCCTCAAGTGATGTTCCTGATACTCCTGCAGAAGAAGTGTACCGCCCCCACTTCGATTTCTAGTTATTACGGTTTGTTGTTTTTTATTTTGTATTGTGTTGTAAGTTGGATTTCACATATGTTTCAATTTAAAATTCGATGTTTTGTTATTTTAATTTATTCAATGTGTTATTATTTTAATTACATGTGCTTATTTAATGTTCACATTTATTTTTATTTAAATTACATTTATTTTAGTTATTATAAGTCTGTCACATTATTAAATAAGATATTAAAAAGATAGAAGTAATTTACACAAACGCTAATATTTTATTAAGACACATAAAAGTTCCAGAAGTACATAAAGATTTTAGGAAAAACATAAATAGTACAAATACGAAGGTAACACTAGTAAATGAAATACATGAAACACAACTAGATTAAGAAAACACATAAATATTTAGGGGAAGCAAATAAACTACATTCCATTTCCATGGTGCATCCACAGATGGTTTATGAGATCACTTTTAAGCGATGTGTGCACCGAGGAGTCTCTAATTCGATTGTGGCGCATCATATATTGACTCAAGGTCGGACCATCATGGTTAAGATCCAATTCAACAATACCACCAATATAATCATAGTCTTCACGGTAGTCTTGTTGGGTTGGTTCTTCATCATTCTCTTCATATTCATCTTCCACTATCATGTTGTGCAGTATAATGCATGCCAGCATTATATCACCTAATGTGCGTATGTCGTGCAACCGTGCAGGACCTCGCACAATAGCCCACCTAGCTTGTAAAATTCCAAATGCTCTTTCAACATCCTTACGAAAAGCCTCTTGCATTGAAGCAAAAAGCTTTTTCTTAGGAGTGTCTGGATGACTTATTGTCTTAACAAAAGTTCCCCAACTTGGGTAAATCCCATCAGCTAAATAATAACATTGATTATATAGCTTACCATCCACGCGGAATTGTACCTGAGGGGCAGATCCATTTACAACAGCATCAAAGACTGGAGAGCTTGCAAGAGTGTTGAGGTCATTGTTGGAACCGGCTGTGCCAAAAAATGCATGCCACATATGAGTATCATAAGAAGCAACTGCTTCGAGCACAATTGTTGGTTTTCTTTTGTACCCGGTGTACTGGCCGGCCCAAGATGTAGGACAGTTTTTCCACTCCCAGTGCATGCAATCAATGGACCCAATCATCCCGGGAAAGCCTCTTTTCGAGGCCTTTTCAAGAAGACGATGCAGATCCCCGAGGTTAGGGGTTCGTAGGTACCAAGAACCATACACACTAATAACTGCCCCACAAAATTTTTTCATGCACAAAAGTGTAGTTGTCTCACTCAAACGACATAACTGATCTAATGAATCAGCCGAGCAACCATTGGCGAGCATAAATATCGCACTAGTGAGTTTTTTATTAGGAGAAAGAGATACCTTGTTTGTTGCATCTACTGTACTTACAAAATAGGGATCGAAAGCCATGACATCTTTCATGATTCGATCAAATAGAGCCGGTTGCATGCGATAACGACGACGGAAGATACGTGCATTGTAGGTGGGATTTGGATTCCAGTAATCATCCATCAACAAACGGTGTCCAGCTTCCCGACCACGGTCTATGTAATCACGACTACTATTGGAGCTTGTTGCAACCAAAGAAGCCATCAAAGCCATGCGCATGCGGTCGGAATAAGCTTCTTCATCTTCATCTTCATTAATGGATTTGTAAAATGCGGAAAAGAACTCATGATGTTTTTGGCCTTGTTGAAAATGGGAGAAGTAAAGATGAGGTGTGTGATTCCAATGTCAAGTGAGGCCATGTATTTATAGTAATATAGTTCTTTGATGTTCACACCAAGTGGAGGATACATCCAAATTAATATGTTTGGACCAAGTGGAGAATAGCATCCAATGTGGTATGGAAGATTACACATGGTGGAAAAGAGAATCCAATGTCATATAATGTGCTATGAAAGGACACAAATAATGGAAAAGAGAATCCAATGTGATTTGAAAAGATACAACAAGTTGAGAAGGGAATCCAATGTGTTATGGATAGACACAAAGTTGAGAAGAGAATCCAATGCTCTAATGTGTTGAAAATCACTCAGGAAAAAACGTAAAAAAAAATAATGAAATTTATTTTTTTTACATCGAAAAGTGTCTTTTTTATTTTATAATTAATCAGAGAAAAAATTTAAAGGAAAACATTAATTATAGTAATTTAATTAATAATTTACTAAATTGATATGTAAAAAAATGTGCAGAGTGTATTTTTTGACGGTGCTGGAATGCAGAGAATAGGAGTCAAAACACTGTTTTCATATCGACGGAGTCCATTTTTGACATTTAGACTCTTGCACCACTCCAAATGGTCTTATAGTACGTTTTAATCCAAAACCTCTCCCCCGAGGGTGATCAATCCAGTGCGTCACACACCACGTCCCCGTCGAAATTCTTCTTTACTCGCACTAATAATGTTTGCAATATTTCAAAATTCTCTGTTTATTTTGTTAAATTACTACCTCCTTATATTGGATATTTTGTTTTAGTTTGAGATAATTATCATTAAAGTTGATGAAAATTTTGACATAGTTATCAATAAAGTTCTAAAAATTAAAAGTTGTGATTGAAATTTGAGTACATAGACCGCATATTTATTGTCAAAAAGAAAATTGGACATTCATTTTAAGACAACTCAAAAACAAAATTAAGACAACTAAATTGGACCGGAGATAGTATAATTATAATCTTTATCTTTATCTTCATATAATATAAAGTAAAAGAGTAAAGTAAAAGAGTGGGGCACAATTGAGGGAAAAATCCCGCCCAAATTAAGGGCATATTGGGAAGTTAATGTAGAACATAAAAGTGAAATCCCACCCATGAGAAGAAACCATTTACTACACACGTATCATTTTGTATGGTAAATTAGAGCATGTATTGCCTACAAATCTTGATCAAATAATACACGTATGAAACTATGAATGTATAGTATGATGGAACATTTATTACTTAGTGATGGTACCATGGATTAAGACAATGGCCCAATTACGTAGTCCAGCCCATAAAAGGGACCAGCCCTTAACAGGACCAGCCTAATTACAGGATGAGCCCATAAACGGGATCAGCCCTTTAAGGGCTGATCCCGTTTATGGGCTGATCATGTTATTATGTTAATCCGATCCCTTTAAGGGCTGATCCTGTTTATGGGCTAATCCTGTAATTAGGCTGGTCCCGTTTAGGGTTGATCCCGTTTATGGGCTGGACTACGTAATTGGGCCATTGTCTTAATCCATGGTACCATCACGAGCCCCCCTACTCCTCAAAATTAGCAGGGCTGAATTTGGAGGAGTAGAATTGAAGCGGTTTAATTTACTGGATTTCAAATTTCGAATCTTTATAGGCGGCTGTAGCTCTGTCTCAGTAATTATTGCGTTGAAGTAGGCCAGCAGCTCGGGCTCAACTTTCAACCGGCTTTCCATTTCCCGACTTCTCGAATCTCCGGATGCGGATTTTCCAAGCGGTTTTTGAACAGTTTTTGAGATGAGTCCCAAACGGTTCCAATGATTACGAAGCGTTTTAGGGTTTCGTCTTATAAAAATAACCCCCCTTCATATTTTTTCATTATTCGGACATCCTTTGATCCTTTTGAGTGAAACTTTGGTTCATCATGTCTTCATCTAAATCTTCTTCTGTTCCAAAGTTTCTTCACGATACATGTAACGCCCCTCTCAGGGTTAAACGAAACGCTACACTAACTTACTACTTAAAAAAATAACTGCAATACAACGGCCGTCTATTTAAGAAAAATAGACCCTGATAAAATCTCAAAAGTAACTGAAACAACTCCAAATAAAAACTTAATAAAATATAGTTATCACTATAAAATGTGATAACCACTTGGATCCAGGAATTTATTAAAACTTCAAATCCTTAAATAAAATAAAGTAAAAATAATCTCTTTATTATAACAACTGAAATACTGAAACAAAATAATAACTATCTAGAAGCCGTCAAGGTCGTTCCCGTTAACTCATCTTGGCACGCGTTCCACTCCCTCGTCATCTTCCTAGGCCTTGGCCTTACCCTTAGTAATCTGTACATGCGAAGAAAGAAACTGATAAGCTTTACGCTTAGTAAGTCACTATGGCTCCACAAAAATATCTTGAAGTCTAGGCCAATTTATCAATAGATAAATTTAGGCTATAAGCATGCACTGAACAAATAACGAACACATAACTTCTCAAATACATTCTGAGGGAGATCTCAAAGGAAAATATTTTCTAAAATAATTTCTCAAAACTGCTGGAGAGATCTCAAAATATCTTTTTCAAAACATCTCTGTAAAACTTTCTGAAAGAGATCTAAAAAAAACTTGCTATAAAACTTTCTGAAAGAGATCTCATTAAATTTTCTGTATAACTCTTTGTGGCTAATTTTACTCTGTGGGCCCGTGATATGTACTCAAAGGCGCCAATCCGACAGCTCAGGGGAGCGACCCACTAAACATATCGGACTCTCTGAAACTGATAACTCTGTAACTCTGTGGGAACTTGTTCCCGAGTACATATCACCTGATCTTTCACTTTAAGTATTAGTTCTTTTTATGGTGTGACGTTTGATTAAAAACATCATTAAATGTGAAAATAAAAGTACTGACAAACTCTTGTATATGCCAGATACTAAACATACTTAATACACCAAATCAAATAACTCATCAAATAATTCACCAATTTCACATAACAGCAAATAGACTAAAATCATCTATTAAAAATCAACCAGACTTCTTTCTTTTATTTGGTTGAACAAACATGTACATGTTGTCACGCCCCGGACCACCGGACACGTCAACAACCCGCCGTACAGTACGAATAGTCAACCGCAGTCCAACTCATCCATACTATACTAGGCGTCTTGAATACCATTCACAATAGTACATCCATAAACAATCATAATGTAAAATATTCAATCATGCAGCGGAAACATTAATACAAGTATTCAAGCCACACATGGAAAACACGGGCATACAAGCCCCAAATAATTATTCAGAAAATAATATCCATGAGCATTAATTTAAATGTTTTAAAATAGGAACGGAGGAAGCACGAACCACGTCTCCTCTCCTTGATAATCCGCCCGAAGCAACGGTGATGGTAGCAACCTTCAAGTTCTACCTGAAACTGTGAGGTGGCCTCCCTGTGAAGGGGAGGTCAGTACTTGGAAGCATTTGACAAGTACAATGACAACTATACTAAGTATAATCAACGTTTCAATTTCCAAGACCCTCAAATAGAATGATATAATATTATAGGTCATAACCCTTGGTTACCCTCTTTGAAAATATACTTACTTTATATATAAAGTCAAGTAGTCGGCCCGAAGACCCATGTTTTACTTTGAAAACGTTCAACCCTTTCCCTGTGACTTCAAGCCACGCCCATCTATATTAGTTCACCATGCTAGAGGCTTCCTCTAGTCATGTTTTCTCGTGCTAGAGGCTTACTCTAGTCACTACATTTGGTGTTAGAGGCTTCCTCTAATCACCTTACATTCGTTGTGCTGGAGGCTTCCTCCAGTCACATTACGTTATGCTAGAGGCTTCCTCTAGTCATCCTACACTACGCTAGAGGCTTCCTCTAGTCGTCCTACATTAATGCTGGAGGCTTCCTCCAGTCATTCTTTATCGTGTTGGAGGCTTCCTCTAGTCACGATACTAGCTCAGTAAGCAAATTCTATGCCTAGAGTTCCTCTACTATGAGTAACCTTTAAGGTCTACTCCTACGATAACTTAGCGTTTACCCATTTCTACCTTAAGACATTTCATATGACTACTTAAGGTACATCTTTCACAATCCAAGCCTTTAGGATTTGTTCTATCACTTTTCATGCTAACATTTCCGACTAGTAAATTCAATACTAATCCATTAATCTTTAAGCCACCAAGCTCTTTAATTCATAGTTATAAGGTTCATTCCTTTGGATTCCCCAATCCATATATGATTAAACCTTAATATAAAAAATATCACTTTTATCCATTCATGAATTCTATATATGGAGTAAAAGTATATTTCATCACAAAAATTCATGGTTTATACAATCATCGTATCATCATACTTATAATGCATAACTATACACCATTTACTCATAAATTTGTATATTATGCATCTTCTATTTATAAACAACAATATTTCCATTTAGGCATTATTGATCGTTAATAATCCATGAAAATCACATTTAATTAACTTAGGTAATCTTATGAAATTAACCCAAGGATTATAAGCAATATAGTCAGCCATCCTCACCTTATGAAGTGCTGAAATAGTTGCCTTTGTTAAGCCCTCCGATCAATCCCCGTTCTAAACCGATTGGAGATGAAAAATCTGGACAGCAGACGAAAGCCGGGCGGCTTTCGTGAAAGGTGGGCGGCTTTCGTGGTCTGCAACTACGAACAGCCTCTTATACTTGGCGGTTTCCGGCGGTTTCAACTCCTATCGATTCCACGACCCTTCTAAGTTAAATACCACCACTTTATAACAATATTACACACTTTTAAACGTGTAAAACTCATGGTTTAATCCACCATATGATTCCTTAAAAATCATACAAGGATAAACTAGTTAAGAGTTTGTTTGTTGAGTTCTTACCTCAAACACAATCCTTTCCTTCTTGGATTTTCTTTGTTGATGCTTCCTTCAAGCTATGGACCTTGTGGAAGACTTTTCTCTTGAGTTTTCTCACCCTTTGCTTGTTCGTATGG